TATATATATAAGGAGTTCATGCCCTGAAAATTGTCATACACCTCCATCTGTACCTGGTATCTTCTAACCAGCAGGGCCGGATTTGCCAGAAGGCCACAAGACCCGGCATCGGGGCGGCAGGGAGCAGAGAGGCGGCAGGGGTGTGGAATCCCCCGACGCCCGGGACATGCAGTTTCAGGTGCAGGGCGGGTGGTTGTTTTCTACATTCAGCCCTGCTTTCGGCAAGCAGGGCTAAATGTGGAGTGGGGAGGCCGCTTGTTCGTTTACAAGTGATCTTGGCGATGTCACTAAGATCACTTGTAAGGAGAATGAGACTGCAGGTCCGTCCTATGATCCCGCCCTGTGCCCACCTCCTGCACCTACCTCTCTCCCTGCAGGCCGGAGATCCTCTCTTCAGGATGGGGAGCAGAGCAGAGAACGTCTGTTTTCCGCTCTGTTCCATGTAAACAGTGAGAGGGCAGAGCAGCACTCGCAGCACAGTGCTATGCTAGAACTCCTGTATTGGAGGTGACAGGTTCAATAAAGAGAACCTGCCACCTCCAAATGCTATCACACAGGGGCTTGTTAGCTCCTGTGTAATAGCAATAAAGTTAAGTGAAAAAACATAAATGAAATTAAATAAAAATGCTGCAACACTTGTGCATCTCCGGCAACTGACAAAAATATGTGTAATATAGCTTTGTTTCTTTCATTTATTTTTTATTTTGTATATTATTATTTTTTGTCCTGGGGCTGTTGGTCCTGTATGTGTCTATGTTCTGTAAACAGCCACACAACAATGGAAGTGTGCAAAAGTATTAACAAATACCTTTTTGTTTCAGTCCAACAGCCAGGATGATGCCTTGATCGTCACCCAACTGCCCATGAAGCATACACTGGCAGATTTCTGGGCGTTGGCCTGGGACTACAGGTGTACGGCGGTGGTGATGATGCAGAGAGCGCAGGACCTACAGAAGGTCAGCAACAATACCATTTCTAACACACCTTCCCCATCACATTGCACAGTGCCACTTAGTTAAAATACTGGATCTGGCACTGCTCATGTAGAAAACCTGGGTGCCCCAGAAAGGAATGAACCTCTGTACTGAAAACAGCAACCAGCTTTATGCTGGGCACACACCTTACAACCATCGCACGACTTTTGTCTTACGATGGTTGTAAGGTGCTTAAAAAAACGTACCATCTGCCCATCTTGGACAGGCAGATCATACTTGCGATGATCGCAAGCTGCGCCCCCCCTGAGGGGCGGGCTTCGTTCCGATGACCGCAATGCCGAACGGGCAGTGTGCGCTTGCGCACACCGGCCCGTCCGTCTTTTATCTTACGAACATGCTACACACCCGCCGAACATCGTACGATACTCGGCGGGTTTTCGAACATGTTCGTAAGTTAAAAGTCGTGCAATCTTACAGTAGTAGAGGTCGCACGGCTTACACACACCTTACGATAATCGTACGATCGCGGGATTTCCCGTGATTATCGTACGATTATCGTAAGGTGTGTGGGCACCCTTACTGTGAGCTCAGCCCTACCCACTCCCGACTCTTGCTCCTTCTCTAGTAGCCAGTCACTTTAATGGGTGGCTTCACTAACCAACAGAGTTGCCCGGGTCTCTAGGTACTTTAATATCTGAAGTAAATATGTAGAGTTTTTGGAGCTAATATGTTTGCTCCAAGTGTCAACCTATCCAACGGTGATATTTAAATTAGAGGTGCACAAGCTTTTGTTTTTAGTTGCATGGGGAAATCTTTGAACCTTTGAGAGGAAATAAGAGGAAATCAACCCAACAAGGCTTTAGAGCAGGGTTGTCAAACTCAATTTCATTGTGGGCCACATCAGCAGTATGGTTGACCTCAAAGGGCCGATTGTATCTATAAGACTATATAAATGTATCTACTCTTTATCATATAATTGCCTCTGCCTAACAACATAAATCTGCAGTCATTCCAGCAAGTGAGCATGTTATTGTATAAAGAACCTAACATTAGTATATATATTTAATTGTTACTAAACTATGTGATCAATGTTTTCCTTTCAAGAGCAATAAATATGAGCATCTATCCCTTCTTAATTCTATCCAGAACTGGTGATAAGTAGAGTTTAGTGGGCTATGTGTGTTATAGCTCTTGACTCTGCACATTGGCAACTCACTCCGCCTACTAAAGCAGGGGTGTTCCCACTCTGCCTGTTGCATTATTAATATATGTAGCGTATTTTTCGCTCCATAAGACGCACTCCCCCGCCCCCCCCCCCCCCCCCCCACCCGCGGTGTGATTGGATGCGTGGCAAAACATTGTTTGTATTCCGTTCCACTGCGAACACAAAAAAATGCTGCATGCTCTATTTTTTTTACATTCGCAATGGACCGGAAAGCAGGCAATGTTTTGCCACGCGTCCGATCG